GTTTTTTCTCTCCACTACGCCAGCCACTTGGTTATGGCGTTCCATGTATGCCCTGCCTGCTAGCATCTTGCACTCTGATGTTATGTGCTGGATTGTCTCGGGGGCATCTTTGCACAGCCTGCACCTGGGGTCCTGTCTCGTATGGTAGACTCCAGCCTCTACTGATCTTGTACTTAGAGCTTGTTCTTGTTCTGCCAGGATTAGTGCCTCTGTGCTGTCTTTCAGTCCAGCTTTGTCCAGCCACTTCTACTATTTGACGGTGGTACATACTGTGCAGAGGTTTGTCCTTCCGTGCCTTCCGTGAGGGTTCCTGCTCTTCCTTCCCTTGTTCCTCTGATTTCTGCTGCCTGAGGTATTCACTAATCACGTCATCACTCGGGGCCATCTTCATGGATCTCTGTTGTTTCATCCTGGATAGTGGCTCTGACGCTCACTAATCCTCGGCCTCCTTCCTTCTGCTTAGTGTACAGTCTCAGGATGCTGGACTTGGGGTGAAACCCGCCATGCATTGTAAGGAGCTTCCTTGTCTTGATGTCAGTGGCCTCTATCTCCTCCTTTGGCCAGATTATTATGCCAGCAGGGTACCTGATGACCGGCAGGGCATACATGTTAGTATATATATATGTATATGTATATGTATAGCCCATTCTCAATCCCAAGGTGTCAGATATTCATGCTTTGTCAAGTACTTTGCCCCTGAGAATGTGTTGGTATACATATTTGTGTATGAGTGTGTGTGCCTGTATGGTTGTATTTGTGAGTGAGGACATTTTAGCTGGTCCTCATATTATGAGACTTAAGTGTTAACACTTTGTTTTAGGGTTAAGGATAGAATTGGGTTTATTTTAAGGGTTAAGGCTTAAGCATTTAGTTGTGATGATTAAGGTAAGGGCATGGGGCTATAAAATGCATGTGTGTGTGTGATGCACTGTGTTTAAACCCTTCTTTCTCTCGTTGCTGCTTAGAAATGATATAACTCTGTTCCATACTTATATGAGCCTGTGCAGCTGCAAGGAAAATCCCTTGAACATAATTGGCTGTTTTATTTGTAAATTATGTCAGAAGTGTGAGTAAACTGCCATAACCTCTATTGCTCTGATAGTAAAAAATTCTTTTACTACAGCATCACTATTTTATGAATATTACTTGCACTAAAAATGCTGCATTATCCTTGTTTTAAACACTGTAAGATGCTTCTATGACTGTGTTTGTCAATCTTCATTCTCCAGCTGTGTCCCTGGCTCTTGCCCTGAATGGAGTCTTCACAAATACTATCAAGTTGATTGTTGGCAGGTATGCTAAACATGCTGCAGCCTTTTACATTTTTGACAGCTCTGTCAGTGATGCAAAATTTTAAAACTGAAGGTGCTGAAGATAATTTTTTAGCTATATCTTACTAGATTTATGGCAAACCATCTTTTCTTTTTTTTTTATTCCAGACCTAGGCCGGATTATTTCCAGCGTTGTTTTCCAGATGGACAAATGAATGCAAAGATGTTGTGCACCGGGGAGCCAGATCTAGTTGCCGAGGGACGCAAGAGTTTCCCCAGCAGCCATTCCTCCTGTGAGTATCAGTTGTCAGTGCAAGCTGCCAGCAAGTGCAACACAATGCAATGAAAGACACCAGAACCCACACACTGACTAATTAAAAGTGTACATGCAGTGACTGTAGCCATCCACTGTTTCATCTTGAAGTGCATTTCACACAAGTAGAAAATATCCATGTGTGTTGATTGGGTATCTGCAAGGTGTTTGCTTCACAATTCAAAGTGATGATCTTGTTGCTGCCTCTCTTCAAAAGCATTTACAACATATAGCAATGTCTTCCCTCAGTTCACACATCCCAAGGCAGCTTGTTGAGATGCCTGTGGGTTTGATTGATTGAAACAAGAATATTTAGTCTTGTTCACATGGTGCATGAGTGAGCGTTGAATGCCCACTCACTGTTCTTATCTGTGCAGACCAGTGCGGGACACTGGACTTCTTTTTGGCCAAGTTACTTTCACTTCCACTGCATGTAAAGTTATTTACACACTTTTTGGTTGTCCAGTGGTATGTAATCTTAGCTTTGGGCCACACAGATGTTGAATATACCCAGGGAAGTAAAGACTGTATTTAAGAAGATACTGTACATTTTTGAACACATCACTTTAACACCACTGAATATAAAACATACATTACTTGTGACTTCGTGTTTCCTGTTCTCTCTTGCTCTAATGACTGTAATATGCAGTTGCTAGAGCAGAAAAGTCTACCAGTAGTAAAATCTGTCATGCAAAATGAAAAATATATCTTTGTGTGCTCTGTGACTGTGGCATGTCTGATATTAATATTGTTTACATGTGTTCAGAATTCATATTACATTTCCACTCTTGATGCACATTCACACTTAAAGGAATTATGCAGAATTCATAAGTATGCATACATAAGAAAATGGTTTCAGCCAAGTGAAGCATTTAAATAGTCTCATGCTGAAAAGAAGCAAAAATCCTTGTCACCACTGAAGGTGGTACACGTGAGTTCAGAGTGAAGTCTTCTTGAAGTGAGGTGTCAAGGTTTGTGCAAAACATGCAGCTTGTCAGATATTCTGTTGATGTGTTTAATTGCCATCTTAGTGAGTGTGACTACATTATAAGAGACTTCAAACCAAACTGAATGGTCTTCATGTGTTACAATAAAATTGCAAGATACTAGTGACATTTTTTTATTGATGTTAAAGAGTGCTGCACTTTCTTGTTCTGTCTGATTTCAGTTTGAAGTTTAACATAATATTAAAGCTGCACATTCCTCAGACACCAGGCTTTAAGAAAGAAATACTTTGAAGTGCTGGCTGTGTCCCATTAGAAATGGCAAAGAGGGATATTGCTCTGTAATTCACTGCAGCACTGTGTATGGATTACATTCATATGCACAGCAGCTCTAACAGTCTTAAGTTGTTGCACTGTGAGTGAGAAAATGATTGAGAGAGTCGTGTGATGGGAACACATGAAGATGTGTACATGTTACATTATACCAGACAAACATAGCAATGGCCAGGGACTGGGGTCAGACAGATGACAAGAGTGAGTGTAGCCTTATTCAAATTGGCATCTCAGTGTAACTTCTGGATGGTCGAGTATGAAGCCATAGACATTTTGCATATAGGTGAAAGAAACTACTTTGTATTCACATACTTTGCTACAGTAGAAAATCAAAAATAACCCAAACTAATCCACCAGCAACAGCCAGGACAAAAATACATCTTCAGGGTTTGATGAGAAGTAATTGTAAAGCACAAAATACCATTGAATTTCAAAGTTTTTCAAGCCACCCAGGTTTTCTGTTATTTGATTTCTTTTCTTCACCTCGTAGCAAAGTAACAGAGCAGTAGAAACTGGAAGAGACAGGCAAACAGACAAATACAAAACTCCTCTGGACCCATTGCACCCATAGGCACAGTGGTAAGGAAAGCAGACCTTAAAGCACTAGCTGTCTCCTTCTTATCACCATCTCCCCCATGTGTATCTAATGACTTACATTAGACATGATCAGTTAATATACACGTTTAAAACCATTTGCCATCTTTATAATCTACATTCCCTCCAATGAATAAATGAATCCTGTAAGGTAGATCTACTCACCTTTTAATCTTCACATTGCTTCTTTCACTTACACATGACTGTCTACACTAAATTAACCACAGTTTGACATGTTCATCATATTAGTTCAGTCACCATAGAGAACTGCACTTCTGAAAAGCATGCTCCTATATGTTTGCTGCTGTATAACACAGGCATACTGGAGTCAGTTTCAACAATGTTCAGGACCAGCACTTATGCTGCACTAATGAGTTCCTGTTGCGCTGTTGTGTGTTAATGGATGAAATGACCTCTGTGCACAAGTGGTTGGTTATTATGCATTGCTTCCTGTCAGAGAGGTACCGCAGTGGTGCCTGTCAGGGTTAAAGGTCAGAACAGGAAGGAGAGAGTGAGGAAGGCTGGAAGATTGAAAACATAACTGCAGCTGCTAGTGACTGGGTCTATGTGTGGTCAGGCAGTTCACTGATAGACTTTTCAACAGAAATAAAGGGAAGAAAGGTAAAGAGGTTGTACTGTGCTCATTCATCTTATCACCAATTCCTCCATGCTACTTACCTGATTTCATTTAGAACTCTTTGTACTATACCTCAAGAGCCGTTCACCCCAGGCAGCCAAATGAAAGGCTGAGCTGAGGCAGTTCTCAAAGAATAATGGTTCCAAATTTCTCCTGAATGTTGTGGAGGTCTGATTCATAGCTACTGGAAGCAAATGAGGTTTTTCCACTTATTTAATTGGTTTAATATCTTTTCCCACCACCACAGTGAATGTTTAATTGGTGTGTTCAAAAAAGACACCAAAATATTATAATTGTTTGTGTTATTAGTTTAAGCACATTGTGTTTTTCTGTACTTAGTCATCTTCTTATTTTTCCTGGCACCTTACTAAATTTTTGTCTCAGTTCTAGTATGTTTACTTAAATCATTTCCCATTTTCTTCTAAAAAGTGCTATCAAACCTTCATTTCATTTGAACAAAAACTGGGCTTGATGAGAAAAGAAATTGCATTGCACTCATCAGTCTCATTAGCCATCTTTGTTTCGTTTCAAGGGAATTACTTTTCAAGGTTTTTAAATGCACTGAAAGAATTCATTACTGTGTAATTTTTCCTGTTGTTGTCCTCCACTCTGTCCTCTGGGGAGGGCTCCACAAAGATATTTCAGTCTATGTGGTCTATAGACCATTCTAAGCAGTTTCACAAAAAAAAAAACACTGACTCATTTAAAGACTAAAAAGTTAATGTAGCACTGGCATTATCTTTCCATGTTAACAGTCGGTGACACCTGCTAACCAGAGGCACTGACTGGCAAACACAAAAACCAAATGGCTTATAATTTGTGGGTTTTGCAAGGAGTCTTTAGTGACCCCAGTAACTCCATCACTTCTGTAGAGCTTTTGAGCTTTTCCTGTGGACTTCCTGCTGCTTTTTGATTTTTTTCTGAATATATCCTTGTTAAATTCTTGTTCTTGAAACCAATGTTTTCTGCTTGAGTGATGAGAGCTGAGCAGTTGGTGCTGTTGTTCAGCCAGCCTTTCGTTTGTTTAGTCTGGAAAAAGTATTCATTTTCCCATATTCACAGCAAAGTAGTCCTATTTAAATCATTTCAAGAGCTAAACGGCTTTGTGCAGTACATATATGTTGAAGTTTATCTAGAGTATTAGATAGATTGTTATAGTCAGTTGTCTGTCTTTTGATGCCCCTAGATCTGTGGGGGGAGACACACTGTACAGCACTTGATGTCTCCACTCGTGTATTTATATCACTAAAGTATTTCTAGCAGTGTGATCCTCAAGATGTTTACACAGTGTCTGCAAACATACATATGAAGCTGCTTTTTCTTCCCTTCCTCAGTGTTGGGGAGTACTGACCTACATGTACAGTAAATGAAACTGTAGTTTATCTTAATTTTGTAGTGACTTGCTGGTACTTGAACTACATTCATATTTGCGTAGTGATTCCAGTAGTTAAATGACTAAACTAGATTTCTCACTCAGGAGCTTTGCTGTATTTCATCATTTTCCACTGTGAAATCATTTGAAGTTCACAAAACTGTGCTTTCAAAGTAGCTTCCCCCAACACTTCCCTTGCCTTTAGCAATTCAAATGCAATTTTACTTTGCTGAAATGGCAGCTCTCTTCATATGTACATCACAATTCTACAACAGGTCAATTGGGGAGCAGAAATGATAACAAAATATAGTATATAGTTGCTGTTAGTAGTTTTGTAGTCTGAAACTAACCATTTTAACAATAATAATGACATAGTTTTTTAGATTTAGCAGCTGCTATTTGAAGCAATATACAGTACATACTGTATACCTACAGTTAGATTATGCTTTACAGTCTTCACTGTGTGTCTGGTTTTTTTATTTTTTTTATTTAAATGAGCATAAGCATAAACTTTATTGTCAAGTATTTCAAGAATGCAAGGAATTTGACTCCAGGAAGTACATCCTCTGCTGTGCCTTTTTAGTAATGGTACTGATGTTGGTTGTCCACTTCAAGTCTCGAGAGTTTGTGGAGCCCAGGAAATTGTAGGACTCCATGACTGAAACAGTGCTGCTGAGTACATTGAGCAGATATAGGCTGGGGGAGTTCCTCCTAAAATCCACTATCATTTCTACTGTTTTCAACGTGTTCAGCTCCAGATTGTTACGACCACACCACAGGGCCAGCTGTTCAACCTCTGACTGTTGTGTCGTCTGCAAACTTCATGATTTTTACAGAAAGATCTCCTGAGGTGCAGTCCTTAGTACAGAGGGAGAACAACAGCAGTGAGCGCACACATCCCTGAAGGGCACCTGTGCTGATAGTCCAGGTGTTGGATGTGGTTTTCCCCAGCCTCACTTGCTGCTTCCTGTCTGTTAGAAAGCTGGTAATTCACTGACAGGTGAGGCCAGGCACAGCGAGCTGGGTTAGTTTGGAGTAGAGGACATCTGGGATGATGGTGTTGAATGCCGAACTGAAGTCCACAAATAGGATCTGTGCATAGGTCCCTGGTGAGTCAAGATGTTGCAGGATGTAATGCAGTGCCATATTGACTGCATCATCCACTGACCTGTTTGCTCGGTAGGCGAACTGCAGAGGATCCAGCCGGAGGTCTGTGATGGCCTTCAGGTGGGCCAACACCGGTCTCTCAAAACACTTCATGAGAGACAGATGTCAGGGCAACAGGTCTGTAGTCATTCATTTCCCTGATGGAGGGTTTCTTGGGAACTGGAATGATGGTGGAACATTTAAAACAGGAGGACACTATAAACTGCCCAAAAATAAAGTATAACCATGACTGTGGGAGATTAAATGTGTTCACACACTGAGGCTTTGCTGATCTGCCGTGGGTTTACACAGGCCTTCCTACCAAGCATGCTCTAGCTCACATTACTCTGAATGATGATAATGGGTAATAGTGGTATCCCTGCAGGATTCCAAACAGGGAAATAACATAGAAGTGATGAGAAGACACACACAGAGCAATGTATTTTAGAGTTAAATAATATAGATACAATCACACCTTGTGATTTCTCTTCCAGTGTTACAAAACTGCATGCGTGTGTTACTGACGAGGAATCAGCTCTGCAGAAAATCCTGGAATGTCTCAGTAAGATGTGGTTTTGTCATGTAAAACTGCTGTGAGATTTCCTTCAGTCAGCAGACTGAGTCATTGGTTCCATCTTTCCAAATGAGTCACATAATCATCTTAGCTATGGTTATAGCTTTTACATTGAATGGATAAGCTTCACTATAATTGGAAATGTGGAGAGGTCACCTAGAAGTGAAGCCGAGGATATAAAGAGAAGGACTGGACTAGAGATGTTGTGTTGTTTGTTGAAGTACTAGAGTGCACCTATGAAGCATGCATGTGCGCACACACATGGTTAAGTTGTGGCTCATTTTGAGACAAGTTTACATACATTAAAGTTGGTCTGCTGTAACTGCCTACACAATCAAACACTGGAACCACTTGATTTTCTGGTGTGGCAGAATAACAATGTGAATTAGTAAATGTTATCACCATAGTTAATCTTATATATACATGTGAATTCATGAGAAAACAGTATCATTAATATGTATATTATCGCCTTTTTAGTTGTTCTTAACATTATTAAAGGAGAGAGGATAAAAACAAGATGGAGAAAGATGAAGGACAAAGCGGATGAGAAGGTGGAGAACGAAACAATTACATGTAGCAGTGAGGAGAAAGAACAAGAGAACAAAGATGACAAAGAAGAAGAGGGGGGATGAAAAAGAGGACCAGGAGGGCAGCAGAACATCCTTTCTCCTGACCCCTGCCTTTCTTATGTTACCTACTCCTCACTGCTATTTAACCCTTCCTACCCTTTACCCCCCCACACCTTACCCAACCTCACCTCTTACCCACTCCTGAAAACCACCCTCCACCCCCACACATTCCTTCTTGTTCATGTATTACAAATAAACATGTAAATTGATAAAACTCAGATATGATGAAGTAAAACTACACCTGCCCGTGTCTACCTTTCTGAATATACACATAATTTCAGTAAAATTTACTGATACTCTCTCCAAGACAATGGAGTGTGGTAATGTCCTTATAGACCTGGAAAACTCCTTTTGAGTGCACTTGTCTTTAGTTAAAAAAAAAAAATGACAACATTGCAAATCTTTGTTATGCTCATCAGAGGCTAATTCCTTTTGTTGCACATTATAACATTGTCTCATTACAGTCTCATGGATTTTACATTCCACTGGGTGTCCACTATTTCTTAGTTCATTTGGTCCACCAATTTGGTCTGCAATAAAATATTCTGAGGTGTTCCTAATATTATGGTCTTCTCATTTATGTAGCTGAGGATGACAAAAATACAGACACCTCTAAATATGACATAGTCCAGTACAACACCACCTTTAACTATGACCTCCAAAATAAACCTATAATTGAAATTAGACATTTATGATAATTTCACCAAAACTGAAAGATTTGGAGCTTCATAAACACAGATGTTAAGATGAAAGTGTTGCATACAAGTAGTGCATACAATTGTACAGGTGTGCTTAATAAAGTGGCCAGTGAGTGTGGAGCTCCTAGCATTAGCATTGTTGTAGACTCTTTTTCTTGTCTTTTGCACATTTGTTTTTTTTTTTTTTTTGGTTTGTTTGGTTTTTTTATGGATATTGGACCATATCCTGTCAGCGTGACCAGTTCAGTTTCATTATTGAATTTCGTATCCACCAGTCAGCTTGTTTGAGGTGTAGAGCTATACAAAGACATTTGAGCCCACACACTTTCCCACAGCTTACTTATTCAAGTCAGTGCCTATTTGTTGCTCGTGTTGCCCACACTTAACGCACACAAGCTGGATATGTTGGCAGGGTATCAAAACAAAACAAAAAACAAAAACAAAACAAACTTTATCCAGTATTTTGCTCTACATTACATTATAGAAAATGCTGACTTCCTCTTGGAGACAACTCCTTTGCCCTGACAGCAGGACAGTCACTGAGACAGCTGGACTTTGTGCCTCTGCCTCCTCTTCCCACCAACCTTCCTTTCTCTCTTCAGGCTATACACGTGTCCTTGTCCTTAGTATTCTTGGCCAGTTTGTAGGTTGAGTGACAAATGGGCAGCTGATGGGTGCTGTTTTGCCCCCTGCAGCAGTAAACTAATGACCTTGTCTCAGCACCACATTTCATGTCTTCATCATACAACCTTTAATTCATACAATTAGACTGCCACTGTTACTCTTACACTAAACACCATCAGGCCAGACCTCCACAGCCAGCAGCTCAGTCGAATTTGTTTTTCACCCAGGGCTCTGGTTTTCACTGAGACCTCAGGCTGTCTGTCAGGCCATTGGTGAGCCTGTGTAGATGGGATTTTTTTGACTGAGTTGCTGAATGTTAAACAAGAAGTGTTTATCAATGTTTCAACTCTGCACTAATGTTGAGATGTGGTTTAATATTTGACTGACATAGCCCCCTCTGCACTAATGTTGAGATGTGGTTTAATGTTTGACTGACATAGCCCCCTTTTTAAAAAACTTTTGTTAGGTAGTGTTTGCATAACAACTAGTCATTAGGAACCTAATTTTCCACTGTGTGTTGGCTCATGGATGCATACTGATGCCACATACACACTCCACTTTGTAGGATTGTCCATTGCTTACATATACTGTACTGTAGCTTTGGTTGTCTGCTCACCTTGGACTGAGCACGCACCTGTTGGACACAGTGATTTAGTAAAGAGGTATTTGCCTAAAATACTGATGTGAGTTTACCTGCAGTGGGCTGCAGTGGACAAGTTCTCATCTGCTGTCTTCATTATATTTGTCTATCTGAAATAGTTTGTTGTCACACTGTAGCTGCCTATTTCATTGTTTGTTTTATTATTTTGACCCATTTCACACTTGTGTTAATGCAGTACTACTAACTTTTACAAGTTCCCTTGTTAATCAGCTGATGAGCTGATGAACTTGGGGATTCGTCACAGAGAGGATGAGAGTTTGTATTCTGAATGCTCTGTATTATGTCCAGTCTTAATCCCTTTCTCTTCTTTCTCTTTGTCTCCCCACTTACCTGCCTACTAGTTGCATTCTCTGGTCTTGGCTTCACCTCCTTCTACCTGGCAGGGAAGCTGCAGTGTTTCACGGATCAGGGTCGAGGGCGTAGCTGGCGTCTGTGTGCCATGGTGCTGCCTCTCTACAGCGCTATGATGATTGCACTGTCCCGCACTTGTGACTACAAACACCACTGGCAAGGTCTGCCTCACAGCTTAGCTGTGAACATAGGACACGTGATCATGAATTTGATTTTCCTTCATTAATATCAAAGAAATGCTAGGTCTTAACATACATAGTGTTCATTCTGCTTGTGTCAGCCTAAAAAGGATTGTGGTGCAGAAGTCTGTTTCAATCACACCTGGCTTATACAAATCATTTATTAGGTCAGCACACTGACTCACTTCAAACAGCTGTTCTGCCATAATCACACATTTTTTTCAAATTTAATCAGCATGGCTGACAAATTGAGGAATTGCCCAGATACATATGAGTTAAATCAAGCCGAGCTGCTTGGTTATTTGTCCAACAGACTGCACATTGTCTTATACGCCTGTTTTCTGCTAGCTATCACATAATGACAGGTTTTGATTTCCTAATAAACTGCCTCAGATGCCTGGGAAGAAATTTATAATTGCAAGCTTCAGTTTTTCTTATCTGTTCTGAAGTGAAGGGAGAGTTGGAGGGACAGAGAGTAGGGAATGCATGCTGTATGTGGGTGGGGTGTGGGAATATGATGACAGCTCTGTCATATGGTGTTAATTAGTTTTAGAGAGCCATATGTTCCTCTAGGGCAGCTACAACAACTCTTTTAAAAATCAAGTTTTATTTACTGTACATAAAAAGCACAGCACACATTGCTAAAGGCCAGCTGACCACTTTTTGAGCCTCCCTTAGTATTTGTTTGCTTTACACAAACCTTTTCTCTCCACTGTATCCAGCTGACTATAGACAGCAATGGTACAGCCTTTTAACTTGAGGGCCCCAATCTGCACTCACTATAAACACACGCTGATAGCCCCCCATTAGCCTAGCTGCTGAGCCATGCTTGATGGATCCTAATAATCTCACCATCCTTTTGCACTTTGGAGGTGCTCTCTGTTCTCTGGGGGGAAAGACTGGGTTTCTAATCACTGTCTCAGTGAGGCTGCTAAACTAATACATTGCATCAAGTCACAGTCCATTAAATTCAGTTGACAGGAGTTGATGAAACATTCACAAAGCAAGCTCATGCATTGTATAGCTCCTAAATGGTTTTTATATTTCATCTCAAGCAGAAGGAGAAAACAAAGGAATGGCTATGAAAAATATAAATGTGATATTATGGAAGCCTCCACTTCAGCTGCTCCATCCACTAGCTGGCAATGTCATTTTGATCTATACCTAGCAATATACTGTAGGCTTTACATTCAGCACGGCAGTGTGATATGATGTATTATGGCTTAAAGGAGTCCAGACATAATATGAAAGTGTTCAGCATAAATGACAAAGAAACAGTGGCCACATGTCTAAAGGCAGATTCTCAGCAGAACAGATTCCTTGTTTTGCCTTTCAGTTTACTTTTGTCAACCTCTAAACTATCAGAGTGTAATGAATGCTCACTGAGACACTAGACGCAACTAATTAAATGTGCTTATTCTAAGAGCAGGTGTTATTTCTTTTTCTCCACATACAGTGGGCTAATATTAACCATAGATGCACACCTTAAAATATATGTGTTTTTGTGGCTTTGCAGACGCCTTTGTTGGAGGAGTGATCGGGTTACTGTTTGCATATATCTGCTACCGCCAGCACTACCCACCCTTTCTACACATGGACTGCCACCTGCCTTATGCCAGTCTGGCTGCAGCAGCCCACGCACCTTCACATCCCCAGGATGACCCGCAGCCCACTGACAATGCCACCTCTCTTCCCCTGGAGGGCTTGACCGAAGGGCCAGTATGACTAGTGGCCAATGCCGAGACTCTCTCCAACACCGTCACCAGTCCTCTGAGCTCACTTCCCCATTCCCAGTGATGGACTGGTTCTTGTATTGTATACATTCCAGTGGACAGTAACAGTCCTCACTCATCTCCATACAGTTACATCCAGTTTCGGTGGCATCTACATTCTTTTGTGTTTATGTCTATTTTTTTTTAGATATATAATACAATTCTGGCTTAGCAGCCGTGGAAGTCTATATTTAGCTATGATGTATGAGAGGAACCTATGAATATGGGACATCACCACTGAGAGGGAGGAGAAAAAAAAGGCTGAAGACCTAAGGAAACAAGTCTTGTTAATGGCTGTGAAGAAAAATGAAAATATTGCCAAGTTTTACTGGAGTGTATTTGCTTAAAGAGAGACATGTTTTGGCAGGTTGTTTTATGCTGGAATATATTTAATGGTTGGCTGCTAAGTGAGAAGACCCTGAGAAATCTCATGAAATGCCACAGCAATCGAACATGAAATCAAACCAATTAAACATCCACCAATCAAACATATTAGATGTCACAGTTAGAAACAAATGACTGGACGAGTAGCAACTTGTGCCAGAAATCCAATGACATTTTCTATACTTACATTAAGCCTTTTAGACGTACGCTGCATTTTCAGAGGGCACCAGTGTTTTGCTTAAAAACTCATACAGATTCATACCTCCACAGCTTTTAAGTTCTTTGTTGTCCATAGCTAATTAATGAAAAATTTGAAACCAATACACGCCTGGAGAAAAGCACTGTCCGTGTCAAGGACAAGCCTCAGTGGTCCACAGCCATTCTCCTCTCCATTCCCCCATTTTGTATTATTATATTATATTATTGTCTCATTCCCTTGAATTTATGTAACTGTCCAGTGCACTCCTGCATATCACCCTTCCCCACTCCTCTTCCTCACTTTGTCACTATCCAGCTTTATTTTCACAAGCCATGCATTTATCACTTTTACAGAGGTAGCAGAGGGATGTGGTCCCAAATTGTGCAGTCAGTAACAGACAGGTGGGAACAGTGTGGTGGAAGTGTGTCTGGATGGGCACAAACTCCAATCTGGTCCTGCATTAATCCTCATTACAGAGAATCAGCCACTGCTACTTATGAGAACATTAGGACTATATGAGCTGCCCCACAGGCTGTCCAAGCATTGCAAAGTGCTTTCAGTCCACTGTGGCCCTACAAATAGACAATCTAGCATTCAGCAGATGTCAGGCCTAAACTCGAGTCAGCGATTTTGATTACTCATTATTCATCTGTTAATGTTCCATTATTTATTAATATTTCCAGCCTTAATTTAGGGACACCACAGTGAAATGAAAGAGACACCAAAGATTTGTAGCTTTCCTCTGCTTGGGTTGTATGCATCCTTTTAGGCTTTATTAACAGAGAGGACACATCAATAATGCTATTTGTAGCTTCTTACAAGTTTGGTTAGAAATGATGGAACATTTTTGTTGTCTTGGTTACTGGGCCTTTTCTTGCCATTGCTGTGACATTAATGGGAAGGTGCAGTCTCTAATTCAACCGAGCTACATGGTGAGACAAAGATTAAATATTTTCAAGCAAGGGAAAAACAGGATATAGCACATCAAAAGAGCATGATATGAAAAGAGTAGTAAGCAGAATTTAGAGTTATTTTGCAATTTTATTATTTTTGACAGCATGATAGTTAACCATATTTTCACATTTGTCTGTTTCCTGTCAAAGGATCACACATTTTGTAGAAAGCATCAGAAACAGCCCCACCTTCAGCTGCTGTTTGCTTAATTCTCAACACAATTGGCTTGTGGGCACAGGAATAGACAAGAAAAGTTTCTTTCTCTTCCTATGTTTGAAATTAGTTTGACATCATTTTCAAAATCTGCTACAATTAAACCTCTGTTATTAATTAAATCCATTGGCAGCTTGTTAAGACTCTGTCTGTTCATATGTCATATGTGTTGTTGTACTTACTACACCTTTTTGAGCTTTAAGACCTGGTTTTTGGGGTTTGGGTTAGAATTAGTTTCAGGTTAGGGTCAAGGTAAGGGTTAGGGTTAGTTCTCATGGTTTAAGGTTAGGGGCTATAAAACGCATTACTGTATGTCAATGAGTGTGTTCACAAAAATAGAAGTACAAGTGCGTTTGTGTGTGTGTGTGTGTGTGTGTGTGTGTGTGTGTAGGTTTTGATGAGGCCTACAATGGTGCAATACAAAGTGAAATCTTACAAGGAGATTGGCATCTTGACCAGACTGCACCTTTTTTGCTGGTTCCAGCACAAGTCTGGTGATGCAGCTGTGGGATTTTAACATCTTGACGTAGATTTAGAGATGAAATGATTGTGTCACTGACACAATTTGTCTGCATTTGTCTAACTTGGCAGCCTAATGTTTGTACTTTTATCGTTTAGTTTTTCCTTGTGGATGTTTAGAATACATTCAGTACAGAAAGTTTTAAGAGCTCTTAAAATTTTCCACATTTTATATTCCAGACTCATCTCAAAATATATGAAATAAAATGTTTTATCATCAGTTTATACACAATATTTCACAATGACAAAGTGCAAACAGTTTTTGGAGTGTTCTGTAAATGCATTAACAATAAAAGAATTATCCCATTTATATAAGTACTCAGACCCTTTGCTTAGTACTTTGTTAAAGCAGCTTTGGCAGCCACGACAGCCTCAAGTCTTCCTGAGAATGAAGCTGCATGCATGGCACTTTTCTTTTAGAACTACAGTATCTTCTCCTCTTCTTAGCAGAATCATTTAAGGTCAACAAGGTTGGATGGGGATCGCTGGTGCACAGCCATTTTCAGATGTTCTTTTGGCTTCAGGTCTGGACTGTGGCTGGGCCACTCCACAACTTTAACAATTTTCCTGAAGCCACTCCTGTGTTTTCTTGACGCTATGCTTTGAATTGTTGTCCTGTTGAAAACCTTCACCCAGCCTGAGATCCTGAGCACTCTGGAGAAGGTTTTCCACTAAGGATTGCTTTATATATTTCTGCATTAATCATTCCCTCTATCTCTATCTTGACTAGTCTCCCAGTCCCAGATGCAGAAAACCATGTGCGTGATGCTGCCACCACCGTGTTTGACTGTAGAGATGGTATTAATGAGGCGATGCTCAGTGCCTGGGTTTCTCCACACATGCTGTTGGGAATAGTGGCCAAATTTTTGTTTCATCAGACCAGAGAATTCTGCTTCTCATAGTCTCAGAGACGTTTAGGTGGTTTTTGGCCAACTCCCAGTGGGCTGTTGTGTCTTTTAGTGAGGAATGGCTTCTGTCTGGCCACTCCACCATAGAGGCCTGATTGGTGCAGTGCTGCGTTGATGGCTGTCCATCCATAAGGTTCTCTCATCTCCAGAAAGGAACTTTGGATCTCATTAATAGTGACCCTTTGGTTCTTGGTTACCAGTCTGACCAAGGCCCTTCATCCCTGAGTACTCATTTTGACTGGCCGACCAGAGCTATGAATATAGTTGATGGTTCCAAATCTCTTGATGGAGGCTACTGTGCTCTTGGGCACTTTCAGTGCTGCAGATTTTTTTTGTATTCTTCCCCAGATCTGTGTCCTGACACAATCCTGTCTCACAGGTCTGTGGATGGTTCTCTCGACCTCATGGCTTTGTTTTCATTCTGACATACTCAACTATGAGACTTCAGACAGATAGGTGCGTGCCCTTCCTAATTATATCCAATGAATTAAATTAGGCACAGGTGAACTTTAATCAAGTTGTAGAAGCATCTCAAGGACTATTGATGACAGTAGAATGCACCAGAGCTCATTTGCAAATATCATAACAAAGTGTCTGAATACTTATGTAAATTACATATTTCAGTTTTTTATTTTTTAATAAATTTACAAAATACTCTAAAAGCCTGTTTCCACTTTGTCATTCTGAAGCATTGTGTTTGGATGGATGAGGAAAAAAATGAATTGAATCTATTTAAAACTGGGGGTGACTGTGGTTCAGTGGGTAGAACAGTCTAGAGCAGTCGTCTCCCAAACGGCGGGTTGGTGGTTCAAATCTCAGTGCCTGCAGTTCACGTGTCAAAGTGTCCTTGGGCAAGACACTGAACCCCCAAGTTGCCCCCGATGGCTCATTGGTGTGAGTTGGTGCCGCAGATGGCTGCTTTGGTTCTGTACCGGAAACAAATTCCTTGTGTGTAACATACTTGGACAAATAAAGGTAAATAATATGCGTATTATTATTATATGGAAAACTTGAAAGGGTCTGAAAACTTTCCTTACTGACCTTACATATCTGTAAGAGTAATTTTACTGTTTAAGGATTTATTTTTCCTTTTGTTCTTCAAACTATTCCATGATATGTTTTGATTAGGTGCTATTGTATAAGTACTCTTGTAGCAGTACATGTCACTTTTTTCAAATGTGGATGTGTCATTTTAAAATGAAAGTTCAGTAATTTTATACAAAGAAAAAAAGTTATAATACCTTTTCTTTCCAAGTTACTCTGTGATTTGTTCGGTCATTTCACATTACAAAGACTGAAGTCATAAAAGTGACAAAAATAAATTAAAAAAAGAATGAAATTATCAATTATAAAGAATAGATGTCTGAAGAAAAAAATGAGTGTAAGACTTAGGAATCTTTATTCATGGCATGCCAGTTCTATTTGTGAGAAAACGTTGTTTTCTATGAATAAGCATGTCTGGCCTTGAGAAATCGTTGAGCTGTGTTTTGCTGTTTATATACTTTATGTATAATAAAAGACTGCAGCTGTGTGAAATATGTCCATGAAAAACAAAGGAGCCTGATGTATCTTGTCAAAGTGTGACTGCTGGAGCCTGTGTGCTGTGACAGGAGCCACTTTATTGTGATTCATCATATCATTGGAAACAAAATGAGGCTTGAGGATGTTTATATTAAAAATTTCCACCCTGTATTCAGAGTATAGCTGTGAGTACATGTTCTTACTATATATCCCAGAGTATAGCTGTGAGTACATGTTCTTTATTATATGCAAATGAACAATCCTCCATTATGCAGCAGCAGACATTTGAATAAGCTGTATCCCAAGTTTAGTTCAATAAATTTTGATTCAACAGATCTTCTGTCAGACCGCACAGTGCTGCTGAGGCAGCTGAGTGTGTGTGAATGTAATTCTAAGTGTGTGTTGTGCTTTTCTGCATCATTTGTGTTGCACTCTTGTTTTAGGGAGTTTCCAATAAATGTGTGTATGCTTAACACTGCCTGTTGCTTTTCATATGAGTAGGATTTAATCGGGTTGTTGGCAAGAACAACTCATGAGAGTGGTGTATAGTTTCAAAGTAATTTATTCCAGCAGTATATGTATTAGGCTAACTGCACTTCAAACTAAGGAAAACAGGTTTGGAAATGGCCTTTCTTGCTGTTTCACCCAAATATTAGGTATCATTTATTTCTATTTTAATTTTTTGATTGCTCCCGCAAACATCCACTTACAGTTCAGTATCATTAAACATAATGTAATTGTCTGTTGGCAAAATCAGCTGTTCATGGATGTCAAGCCAAGATTTCTATTTGCCATGTATGCATAAACAGATGGTCTAGGCATACAGAAATTCTTGTGCAGCTCTCCTTTGGAATCAGGTAAGGAGTCAAAGGCCAGGAAGAACACATAAAATAAAAAAATTACATAAAGGCAACAAAGCATTAAAGCCGCAATACACAAAAATAGGGTCATAGTATTAGTATGTGCCTGCAGACTGCATCTAGGCCAAGGCTAATTAAATCAGACAAAGGCTGCAGGCAAGGATGGTTGTTATTATTAACTGTAATGCTAATCATAATATTGTCTTAATGTGAAATGTCACGTCAAATTGTTCTTAGATACACACCACTAATCAACAGCCACACACCTTGACTTTTCCTCATGTTTTGACTATTGTTATGGTCAGCTGCAAGCTGGCATATCAGGTGATGTCACGGTTTGACGTGCCTGGGTAGAATGGGCTATCCCAACCAAATGATTAATATGGTATAGGTTCTTTGGTTCAGGGTCTTTGATCTTCCAAGCTGCCTGCGCGCAGGTTGGTGGTGGGAGAGATCTGGACGTGTAATGTTAATTTTACCTGTGATCCTCTGAATAAACCAGCACGGTTATTTTTTATAAAATCTAAGTGGTCTACTTCGTCTTTGTGAGTTCCTGGTTTGAAAGAACCGGAAGGGCTTTATAATACAAATAGAGCCTATAGCATCGTCCACTGATCTGTTGGGGTGGTACGCAAACTGGAGAGGGTCTACAGTGTCTGGGACCATGTGGTTAATGTGTGTGAGAACCAGTTTCTCTAAGCACTTCATGGTGACTGATGTGAGCGCCACTGTCCTGAAGTCATTCAGGGTGGATGTGTCTGATGTCTTAGGGACTGGTATGATAATGTGAGGGACTACTGCTTGGGTTAAAAACAGGTTGAAGATATCTGTATACACACTAGGTAGTTGATCCCCACAGGCTCTCAACACTCAGAGGGGGACACCGTCTGGTCCTGCTGCCTTATGGGGGTTTACCTGTCTCAGGGCCTTCAGGACCTGTGTGCGTGTCACCTGAAAAGCAGTGTCTCCCGGGTCGCAGGGGGATTTTAACGGGGTGTCTGTGTTCATCATGTCAAACCTCACATAGACGTTGTAGAGGCTGTCCGGGAGGGTGACATCCTGGGGGGCTGTGTTTGTTGATTTATTCCTGTAGTTTGTGGCTGTCTGGATTCCCTGCCACATAATGTGTGTATTTTTATTCACATAGTAGCTCTACAGTTTTTGGAAGTATGCTCTCTTTGCAGCTCTGATGGACTTCTGTAGCTCATACCGGGCTTTCCTGTACTCCGCTTGGTCCTCTA